TAGCTTCACCTCCCCTCCCCTCCCCTCCAGCTCCGGTATTGTCTGCAGGATGGGAGAAGGGAGAGGGAGTTCTGGGCTGCACTGTGGGGGGGTGGGGTGCAGGGCAGCACAGCTTGCACTGGAGGGTGGGGGGAGAGTAGATTGGAACCCCCCACCTCGGGGTACAGGGGTTAAGGTTTTTCAAGGGGCCAGTTGTGTGACAAATGTCACTTCTGTCACCACACCCGCACCCCTGGGTCCTGATATAGAGGCCATTGAAAGCAGTGGACAGACCCTGATTTCTACATGCTTTGGATAAGGCCCTAACAGGAGAAAAATGCCCCACATAATATGCCAGATATCACAATTCAGATGTATTGATTTTAGGAAGTGATTGTGTAGAAAACTTTTTAATCAACTGCATAAACTCTAGAGCTGACCAGACAGCAAGAATTGTTGGAAACATCATTGTTTAAGAATTCAGTTGCATTCCACACTGGAAGTGCTTGTCATCTTTTAAAACCATACCTCCTAACATGCTAATGTCCAGGCTGATACAAATATTGATTTATTGCACAGATCAAATGCATCCTTGAAAACAGAATTAATAAAACATTTTTTTTTATTGTCATTACAGGAAAAGTGCCAAAAAGTTTTGCTTGGACCTTAGGGAGCCTATAAACATGTAGCAAGGCTGCTTCAATGCACTGTAATTACAGCATGTTGGAGTAGACTCGATTAATCAAATCTGCTGGAACATGATAATTATCGTGCTCCAGCATTGTGTGTATCAGTGTCCCCGCACTGAATAGTGGCAGGGGCACTTTAACTAAAACTTGTTAACACACTTTAGTTAAAGTGCCCCCACCCCCATTTGTCAGTGGGGGGATGCTTATATGTGTGATACTCTAGGTGGCTCTTGGAGCCACTCTAACTAAAGCACCCCCCCACAAAACACACACACATGCACTCCCAGAGCACATCTATAAATGCCCTAAGTATTTAACATCTTCCTATCCCACTCATGGAAATCCAATTCATAAAGTTATAACAGATATATTAAATATCTGTCTACTTGCATAAGAATTAAGATCCTGTTGTCTTCTGACCTGTTCTGGGAACCCAGTGGGATCTACTTCCAGCTTTGCCACTCACTTTGTGTGACTTTGAACACATCCTTTCACTTCTCTGTGCTTGTCTCCTGCTTATCTTTGTTTCCTTTGTCTTTTTACAGTTTTTCAGAGCATAGAGTATCTTTTACAATGTGTTTGCTCTGTGCTTAGCACAATGGGACCCTGCTCCCAGATTGGGTCCTTCTGTAATTCAAATAAAGAAGGTTAAGAAGAAGCATTGCAAGGTGAAGAATTTGACCACAGACGTGTAATATATTTTTCCCCTCAGAAATGAGGCCCCAGATGCTCCTTATAATTTAACCGTGACTGACAATAATAATAAGACAACCACAGTCAATTATGTCTGTGATACTCTATCAAACCTCTACGGCTGGATGGCTCTCCTCTTGGATAAGGAAGCTTATACTCTGACATTCGACAACCCTTTGTTCAACAAACAACTACAGGTAACGGAGGTGGTTTCTATTATTCATAAGCAGTTTTTTTTGTAAAGGATGAATGAACTTACCACAGAAGGAAGAGAAGCCCTCTTAAAGTTTCAGGATGGAAAAAGTAGGAAAAGGATAAAGGGTGAGAGTCACAAAGGAACTTAGGTACTTAAACTGCAAAATAGGAGTCATTTAGCCACCCAAGTCATAGAAACATAAAAAAAATTAAGGTTGGAAGGGACCTCAGGAGGTCACATTTAGTCCAACCCCCTGCTCAAAGTAGGACCATCCCCGACTAGATCATCCCAGCCAGGGCTTCGCGTAGCTGGGTCTTAGAAACCTCCAAGGATGGAGACTCCACAACCTCTCAGTTAGGCTTGCAAAAGCTGTCAGGTATGTTAGTTTTCTGGCAAAAATTTCCTTAAGTGACTAAAGGTCAAGTACTATGTGTGCACTGAGGAACAGCCAAATGTTTAATGGGTATATGCCTTCCTGATGTAAAGTCTATACACTGTAATCTGTAACCTATATACACAACCACGCGGGCACATTCGTGTTGTGTGTTGCAGGCATGGTGGTGTTTGGGAAACATCTTGGAATAGGTTCAAACGGAGTTGGCAACCCTTGTTGGGGGAGTGCTCCCCGCACAGGACTACAGAGTCAGCCTCACTTTTTGCTTGGGTTCCATGTTGGCCGTGTGACATTTTCATTCCTTTGTATCCAGCATCTCAGTGGGTGTGTCTACACATGCATTAGATCCAGGAGCAGTTTACTTGTGAGCAAACTACTTGGGTATAAATGCTCCTGAGTAGGCATCTACAC